GTGTATTTCTTATAGCCTAAAAGGACAAAGAAAATATTTATCTTGATTTTGATCGGTCAATTTTTATGGCAGCTAAGTGCTGTAGTGGTCCGATCTGAACAATATATTCAAGGACTTGATTTTGATCGGTCAGCTTGTATGCCAGCTATATGATATCTCAAAAACTGAGGGACTAGTTCGCGTATATACAGACAGATATATGATTAAATCGACTCAGCTCGTTATGCTGATCATATATATATATATTTTATAGGTATAAAAACACCTGCTTTTCCCCTTAATAAATTCACTTTTTAGCCACTTAATTTCTTCACGCCTTCCACACGCATCGAATTCTTTTGTTATTACACTTTAAACTTAAATTCCAAAGGTCTTCAATAAGTTAAGTGACAAAAATTATCTGGCGTTGCTGAATAATACTTAATTTCTCGTTGAAAATTATCAATTAATGTCACTCATACGACATGTTGTCCGACATAACCATTATGCATACAACACATATGTATATACGTGAGTGTATTATTTGTGGAAAAACCGCCTACAGAACTTTAATTAATTGACACAAGCATTTACGAAAAGGTTGTACAAACTGTTGATACGACAAAGAAGCTAAATGTGAGTGAGTGTGTGTGTGTGTGTCATCACCAGCTACAGCGCGCTACAATGACATTTAAGCATATGAAATTAATATTAAAAACATGGCAAAGTATAGATAATATTTTCGCATTACGCGATGATTTAATTGCAACACAGGCCAGTGTGTCGGCGTGCAATTTTCAATTTTCAGGCAAATACGCGCTTTAATGCTCATTTGTTTTCTCACAAGTGCGCCTGTATGACTGCACTCGAGCGCCCGAAGTGCGCACTCGCAGCCCTGGAATGAGCGCGAAGTATGACATTTGTATATTGCGCATTTCGCATTTTGCAGTAAACTGCCTGCGGTCGTAAACAAATTATTATACTATGTCGTAGTTGTGGTTAAATATTACTCGACGTCATCAAGCACACACATGCCATACACACTGTCACACGCATACATAAGCCGTGGCGCTTCTGCACAAATTACTTGCATATATTAATGATGGCGAGTGCGAAAGTGGCATTCCAGCAAATATGACAACATGAAATGCCTGTCTGATCGATGTGGTGAAATTGCTAAAAAATAAAAAAACGAATCGAAACGCAAGCGCATAAAAAAAAAGATAAAAATGTTTGCCGCAACAAATTGCGAATTGGCAGAGACAATGATAGCAATTTATGACCAACACATTGTATATATGTATGTGTATATGAATTGATGTAAGAACAGTAATTTGCATATAAATGCATTTACATATGTATAGGTATATCAGCATCAAACTAGTCAGGAAAAACTGTAGTTCATAAGCAGAATTTTCTCTTGAAATGCTACCAGAGAGAAAATCATAAAAATTATACCACTTATAGAATGTGATTTCAATAATTTTTCTTTAAAATCCCATGAGAAATTTTGAATAATAATTTTCATTCTAGAAATATTTCTGACTACAGCTATATTTATGACAAAGATATGACAGCACTCATCTTCTAAGACAACATTACAAAAAAATGCCACTCACCTATATGAAAAACGCCAGTCAGCTCACTAGTTGTACTTCCGGTTTATACTAGTTGTAAAGTAATGTATAACTAGTCGTTTTAACTGCACGCATATGACTGCCATACCCACCATCCGCGAATATCAGTAAAGCGCAAACCACTCAGAACATGTGTAACTGCATTTTTAAACACTCAAATGCATACACACACGCTCGTATGTATTTATACATATTTCCGAACAAGTATATGCTTTACATGCATACATATATAGAAAACAATAAATTACGAAATTACAACGAAAAAAGTATTTTAAATAAAAACAAGCGGTTGACAGCTACTCAGCACATACACATACATATGTACAGCGTGGGAGTGCGCGTGGTAACTGCATGCCTACGTATTTATAGCCATCTTCAATTTAAAAGGCTTTCCCACACACATACACTTGTATGAGTATATGCGTGTGTGTTAAAGCGCTTTGGGATATTGGCGCAGCACAACTTATTCATTTGACGAATTTGTGTATACACAGTGATTGATTGTCACGGCCAATATGCTCATTAAATTCGTTTGAACATGCTTGTATTTAGCTTATTAAAAAAGTGGACACGTGGGTACAAATTGAAAACATAAAAAACAATTGACAAAATTGAACAGAGCAAAGGAGATGTCATTGGAAAATTTAGTATACAATATGATTTTAGATTAACATTACCATCTGATCATGAAAAAAGTGTTCGTCGAATTAAAAGCCGCATTTTTTAGCGATGCACTTATGTACAAAAATAAAAGTATACTAGGTTTGAAAAAATAATTGCGTCGAATTATCGACAATATTTCAGCAATACTTTGTAGTTGCATTTGAATCCAACGACTTCTGAAGAGCAAAAGATTTTGTTAAGAAGAGTTTTATTATCTCTAGTTGTATTGTATATATCTGTCGTCAAAATTTCATTTTCAACATTTTATTTATTTCAATTGAAAAACAAAAAAATTTATCTTAGAGCTGTTATAAATATAAAATAGACATACCATATATTTTTTCATAGAAGCCTCACAGGCAACATTGAGAAAATGTAATAAGCTATATCACGCTTCTATATAACTGTAATTTTTCGCATATTCTTCATACGCATATACTGCTGCTAGTACGACTATCTATAAAAAAGTTAACATTTATACGTCCCACCTTAGTGGTAACCGTTAAAATGAACACAGGCAGGTGTTTAATTGCCATAGCCGACTACAAATGGAATAAATGAATCGAGTCAATAAAGTTGGAGGAGTTTTAAATGTACTTGCGCACGATTGACATGATATTTAAAAGAGAGACGCTTGTACATATGTACATGTATGTTTCGCGCCTGCAATCTGCCAGCATGCACTGAGCACGCAGCAAAACGACCTGTATTTGCACATTTAATGGCATTCAACTGAAGCATAGCAATACGCCGAAGCACTCGAGAGTTTATCGCATATTTGTGCGCTAGTACGTTACGGCTTTGCTTTTATGAGCGCTGTGTTAAGTTTACCAAAAAACCACGAATTTTGGTTGCATTGCCGCAAGCAGCGCATTATATTGTCATCGCGTACCGCAGCAAGTGGAACGCTTACAGTTTGTTCGCTCGTAAACATAGCTCGCTCTTATGCGCGCCACCAATTTATTCAACTGTCCTTTGCGCGCTTTTTGTTCTTATGAAATTGCCTGCAAGCAGCAGAGTTGCATTTATGTGACGACAGTCGAACGCTAATGCGGTTGCGTCGGTGGTCGGGCGGGTATGTGTGGTTTCGCAAACATACAGGTTGAAACCAAATTAACAAGAGTTAAACCCCACCGAATTCAATAATATTATTGAGAAATCTTAAAATACATGCGCAAAAAGTTCACAATATTAAAGTAGTTAGCCATTTTATTAAATACAGGTTTGCAAAGCGGAATCGGTATGAAACCATGCCTACTTTCCATGTGACACCATTTTCCATTCCGTTTAAACGAATCCATTTTTAATTCTTTCACTTTACAACAAAAAAATCAAACATCAAAGAAGATATCGGAACAAAATTTAGAGCGAACAGAATCTAAACATAACTTTCGATTGGGGAGATATTTTATTAAATTTAAGTTTAAGGTTATCTGGTACTAAGACTTGATACAAAACGGTGCAGTACAAATATATATAAATTATGACGATTACAAGCTAACTCAATTTAGTTATATCCGGATGTCCGTTCGTCTGTTTTTATACGAACTAGAGTTCAGTTTTTGAGCTGGTCGAAAAGGCTGATATCGGGTCACTATAATAGCTGCTATACAAACTGAACAATCGGAATAAAATACTATAGAAAACTTTTTTCATTTGAAGAGATATCTTTAACAAAGCATTTTAATCGTAACGTGATGAAAAATGTGTTCGATCCATAGATATTTACTTGAATGATAGACTCTCGACCTCAATTTAAAAGATTTCATCACTAGAGAGTGGTCTCTTTATCTTCATTTTTGAAAACTCCATTTCGATTGCCCAGATCCAAATAAAATATAAATTGAAGAGAAGAGCAATTAAAAAAGGTTAAAATCAAGTCAAAGTTCGGCCCTATGTTTTACCTGTGTACCGTCGGAAATTATATATGTATGAATATATAAAGTGCGGTAAACCAATACACGTATATTTAACAACAATTTTGGCTTCGACTATTAAATAAATATTCAAAAATTTTTTATATTTAATTATAAGTGTTTCGTGTCGTATTTAAGTTATGTATAATTTTTTGTAATGACAAACACTTAAAAGAGGAATGCTTTAACGAAAGTACTTAAACATTCTCGCAGTATTTGTACTGCATGACTGCGGTAGTGACAAGCGTTATGGGCGCTCATGAAAAAATTTTACGCACTTACTATAGTTTGAGTGCTCGGAACCATTCTAGAAGTATGTCCTTATTGTTGCAACTGTTGTTGCTTAATTAAAAGAATCGTACGCATAAACGAGGTAACGCGAAAGGCGGTCAAGAAAAAAGTGTTGCCATAAAATGTGCAGAGCAAACAAGGTGTGACGCTGCGCCATTGCACCATAAAAAATGTAGGTGAAAATATATAAAAACTTAAATAAAATAAAATGAAATGAGAAATGTGAAATGTGAAACACACACAAAGAAGTGTCATAAAAGCCAGCGCTTGAGCTGCCAATCGGGCGTAAATGGCTTTACCGACATGAAAAAAGCAAGTATTTTGGCTTATAAAATCATAAATTGGCACACATTTATCCATTGAATTTAATTTAATTAAGGTACCGTTATACACATACAAAAAAAGCCATTAGGTAATTTATTGCATCACTGTGATTTGCATAACCTTTTTTAATTGCACAAAAAACACTTGGCTCTAATTTTTTTCGTATGTAATTCTCTCTCTTTTTTCGTAGATTTAAGAGCCGACTGGTGCGTTGCCTCGCTTCCGGCACCTACATTGTGCGGCAACTTTGCTCCCTAGGCATTGCCGTTTACACACCCAGCGTCGCATTGTCGACCGTAATTGGCATTCCCTATTGGGCATCCATTGTGGGCATGGCTCTGATTTGCATATTTTTTACCATCATGGTAAGTTCAACAACGCAGCATGTGAGAGTGTGTGTACGAGTATGTGTGTAAATTTACTAACAAAAAATATTTAACAATAATGTGTTGTCCCTTATGAGTGTATTTTTGTATGTATGCATGTAGGTATGTGTGTGCTTGAATGCATGTTAATCCAATATAAATTTGTATTCACATTATTTTATCACTTTTCACATAAATAAAGTGATCCACCGTTTTTTCACCCGTTCTGAGCCAGCTGGAGTGTACATACTTATAAATCTGTATATCTGTATATATATATATGCGCTTGTTTTTGTTTTACTGTCATTTTTTTAAATGTATATGTAGTCTCCAATCGGTTGACCAGCACTAACACCAACAAAAAAATTTTATTGAATAGTATAGAGTTCTCATACCACAAAGGCAAGCGCATGCAGTTGTGTGCAAAAATGGAGCACATTTTGTTTGTCAATATGTGGTTAATTTAATATATTTAACATGCTGTTGTACCCATAAAAGAGTTGTTTTTAAATCTTGTTTTTAGCTCGAAGCATTTTTTTTGCATTTTCGGTATTTTTCTTCAGCAATTCACATTATTATTAAATTACCACAAAGGCTTCCTAAATGAATGTAAATTGGTAAGTGTTTCTTTTTCCTACTGCGGATACGTTTGATAACTTTAATTAAAATATTAAACATTCAATAAATCCAATATATATAAGAAATATCCGTATTCAAGTTAAAATCGAATGAAGTTCCTCATGTTACAAAAAATTAAAGCTTCAAATATTTTCCAGCTTTATCAAAGACCTTCTGTCTGAATCAAAAGCATCCCTGCAAATAAAATTGCACGAAGCTAGTTTCTCATATGTCAAAAGATCGAAATTTACAAAGCTGAAAATGTTATTTATTCCAGTTATAAGTCGTATCTATCATGTAGTAGATCAAGCTTAAAGCTCTTACCCTTGGTAAATGTTAGATCGTTCGCTGCTTTTCCGAAATCATAGAATTGATTGATTTTTGATAAATTCAGTAATTTATGATCACATTACCTCAGGAACCTCAAAATAAGTAATTTTTAGATATTAAGGTCTTACTTGTCGCATATTATAATCTTAAAGCCTATCATGTACACATTTTCCAAATTTTTTGTAAGTGCTATTTGTGATTGTGAAAAGAGAGAGTTTGATTAACAATTATTTTTAATTGCAAATGAAATATAATAGAAAAAAGCTTGATAAACAGAAGTATGTATGTCATTTACGATAAATAAATTTAAATTGTCTATTGAATCTGAAAATGTGTGATCAGTTAAGTGAGAAATTTCAAAGTGTGCGTGTTTGTGATAGTACTTTTAGTAGTAATTTTATAATTTTTTTCTGAAATCTTAAAATTTTTCTTCCTTGCATCAACAGGGTGGTTTGAAAGCAGCCATTAATGCCGATGTCATACAAACTGGTGAGTATTTTTCAGCTTTAACATAAACACATGCATACATATAACTATATTTTTTAAGATCCATCTTCATTTTTCTAATTTTATACGGATAATTTATTTTCATTTCATGTTGTTTTACTTGTTCTAATGACATTTCGGTATTACATCAACAGTAACAGTAATTTTGGTGACATTAGCTGTCATTGTGAAAGGTCTCATGGTCAGTGGCGGCGTACAACACGTTTACGAAGTGAATCGCGATAACGGTGAGTTATATATTTTAATTTTATAACATTTTGAATACAAGATAAAAAAGTAGAACTTACTGGGACTACTTAATACGCTATTTAAATGCTGATCGCAATGAATTAATCCAAAATTATTTTTTTTTCAACTGAAATCGCAGATAATATCTCGAATATATGTAGTAGTTACATATATATGTATCTTTAGAAAATCATTTTTATATATGATATATTAATATATATGTATTTTGTATCATAACATACATGGTAACAAAGCTCAATATAAACATAATATATTATTTCCACATTAATATATATTTTAATATCGCATCATATTAAATTTACTTGATTCAATTATCAGCCTCTGCCGCAATAAATATTTATTCGCAAATTATGCAATATTAACACATCCGTTTTCAGCATCGCGCTGCTCACAGCAACAGCCGCAACCCAATTCATGCGTTTCCAAAGCCAAAGCTTTATTTAACGCTTTTGAGAAATTCGCAAGGGGACCCTTTGGTTTATCGACTGCCTCGGAGTGCTATTTATTTTTATTCGGTTCTGTTTGCAATTTCTTTGACGAATTATTTTTCGTGATTCCACACAGACGCAAACCGCAAACGGCACTTGCCAGCTGTTTAAAGCTCGAAAGCATCACTCAACCCCCCCTCCCCCACCGCACGCACTGTCATTGAGTAAATGCGCCAATTTATTCATATTGAATGTCGTTATACATTATGATGAATGTGTTGTGGTATCAATCATTGGGCTACAAGCCTGTCCCACATACCCACACACATACGTATGTATCTATGTATGTACGAATACACACGTGTATGTAATTTGCAATACGAAGCGCGCCACCGCCACAAAAGCGCCACGGCTCTGGTTGAAGTAAAGTAATGGCACGAGAAAATGGAAATAATGTCGTAAATTGATGCCAAAAAAAGAAATATTCGGCAGTAACAGTATTTAAAAAGCATTCATATTTATGTGAATTGACGCATATTTTACCCGATGTACCCCTCTAAATGTTTCACATGTAGTGTTTAGTGTTAGCAGTCCCATTACGATGAATGTTAGAGTTTAATGTGCCACATCTGTTTTTGTAACCCATCGGCAATTATGGAAAGGAAAATCCAAGGAACAAGCCTTTTGATTAAACAGCTCTTTAAATTAATTATTTACCCTTTCTACCAAAAATGTGTTAAGAAGGCGTCCTTCAATTTCGAATTCATTATCTTAATAACAGAGTGTAAGATTTGTCAAAATTAACCCATTATAGTAAACTTGAAGTTCTCTTAGTGTCTCGAAGACAGAATCTAAAAAAGAAACTGTCGAAAAAAAGTCTTCGAAGATATTCGATAAGTTTAATAGGTTAAAGATTTTTGGATCAATCATTTGGTCACCGCAAATGCAACGCCACACAGCTGTTCTCTTAGACCAAGAAACTTGGAAATCTCTTAAGCAAAGATTTCTTGCTGAAGCAATGCTGGATGGCTGCCTAACTAGATTCAATTTATGATTTGATGACAAGCTAAACTGCAACTTTCATAAGCCGAGAATCCAAATCAGCTTACTTCAGAATTTCGATAACAGCCTAGAGTCTGATAAAGGTTGCAATAGATTATTAAAAAGCGTATATAACATAATAATTCAACATAATCGTCCTTCTTAGAGTTATTACATCAGGGTTTGTGTTTATGCGAAGACGGATTGAATAAGTCCAGTAATACTCTCCGTTTCCTTGGGAATCCCGCACTTTAGGGTGTTGCTTCAATTATGACAATCGTAACTTACTATCTACCGATCCAAAAAGCGTGTGATTGCCGTAAAAAAAACTCAAACGCTTATTTTGATTTATGAAATTCCTGCTACTTCATCAAAACTTGCATTGGTTATTTTATTTTAAAAGCCATTAGATACCCTATGGATGTTAAAACATAGTTACTTAGAAAATAACCCAAAAAGCCGTTAACATATGGTATGTAGTTGCGTAGATCTGTGTTTGCGTATGTATGTATATGCTTCGATACCTAAATCAAGATTGTACATTTTAAATATATAAACTACTTAAAAGTTCAACCGCATATACAATGACACGCCGCTCCCGTTATCTTGGACAGTTTTCCTTTACGCTGTGTGTGTGTGTGTGCGTCTTTATTTAACAGAGAGATGGAATATGTGAGTATTTATGTGCTTTTGTATGTGTATGTGTAGGCATAACTATATGTGCAAAGCTTGCTATTTAGACGAGCCACAATTTTCAAGTCAATATCCTGCAGGCATACACAAATTGCCGCAACAACAACAATGCCATCAAAAAGGCAATGGCATCCTAAAGAATCATTCATTTATACCTTATTATCCATTCAAGTCTTATCGGCATTAAGCTGCTGCCAATGTTGTTGCTGTTGTTGCTATTGGGCCACTCATAAATGGCACTCAAAGCGTATACGCTACAAATGCCTGTGTGTAAGCGTGTGTATTTGTTTGTCTCGATGAGTGTGTAAACAAACACGAGCACCTTACCTACACACGCACAGACATTTAACATTTTTGTGTTTGCGTCAAGAATAAAGTGTACAAAACCGATTTTAGTTTTTTCTTTATTTATTTTTTATTATAATTTTACCACAAAATTGGTTAAAAGGTAAAGTGAGAAATGTAAATACGCAAAGCAAACAAATTATGGGTTGAGAGGAACGTGATGTGTCGTCGGTACAAAAAGATTGTGATATTCGAAGCTCAACAATGTGAACAGAACACAAATTACATGAATGACCGTTGGACGAGCGCACAACGAAAGCATATATGCAACAGCTGACAATGAGGTTAGAACGAGGAGAAGCTATGCTTGGGCGAGCATACGTCTACAACAAATTTATTCAACAATCGTGCACACGAGCATACCATAGTATATTCATAGACGTACGAGCATGTATAGGCGTATGTGCAACGGTAAACAAACAAAAACTTGTGGTTAAGATATTTACCTTCAACACTGTTATGTCCCACAAAAATATGACAACAACTCAACCCGGCATAGAATAGGGGTTTCCGCTATCGCCTTCAAAAGGCAAAAGTATAGATGGTATAACAAATGAGTGCCAAAGGATATGTATTCTGTATGTGTATATTTGTATGTAAATTTACATCGATTGATGCATCAGTGGCGCTTGAATAAAAGTATAGATATTCGAGTTCTTAAGTAGGTGACATATTATGTGCCATTATTTAAGCAAAATTCAAAACCTAAAAATGTCTTAAGGAGACCCCACGTTATCAATTCTTGCACAATCGACGGTACGGTGAATAAATCGAACGCACGACAACTGTTTCGGATTTCGTTAGAAAGGACATAAAATCGAATAGTATCGGAAAATTAGGTTATAAATCGCACATCTCTCGACATGATGCTTCAAACAGTATGTAGATACCTTCACTTTAAACCCGCCAAACGTTCAGAGCTTGTAAGAACCTTCATAAAATATCATGACGCACACCATTTAAAGAACTCGGACAACATTTAGAAAAGTTGCGAAGACTAATTATATATACTAGTCGATACCTAACAGGTTGTATTATCCAGCAAATGATACGGCATACATTTAGACCACCCCGGCTTTGCATTCATTAACAATGTTTCAGATAGGACTCCTATCTGTCTTGCAATTTCTGTAATCTAACATTGAGGCAGACGAAACCTTTCTGGTACTTACATATATTTATATACAATACATATATTGCCGTCAGAACGCACTCCTTTAATTCGATTTTCACAGGATTCCTTAAAGAAGTGATGCGGGTTCGTTTATTACATAACAAACTCCGTTGATATTTTCATATATAATATGTATGTACATATGTACTTCGAAGTTTAGGCTTATTATCCAATGTAGAACAAAGCTTACCCTAGAATGTTTTTACTCAAAACTTAGAACTTAACGGTATTGAGACAAACTAAAGGAAGTGCTAAAATAATATTAGATAAGTAGAATTTCCAATGCTTGCAAAACTTTCTAGCAAATGTTGTTGTTATAACAATATTATGAATTGACGAATGCTACCGACTTGACAGTCCTTGGCAAAACAAATCCTACTCCGAACCGATTACGTAGACACGAATATTGTGGCAACTACGTAACCGAGGAAATGATCGCTTCAAGAAGTACTCAAGTTGAGCAAAATACTGTGGAAAGAATGGTATGGATGCGACGAGACGGGAGTCATTTATTTTCTCACTTCTGCAAAATTCACTTTTTTCGACCTTTTAACTGTATATAAAACCCTTTAATAATTTTCTTCTCCCTGCACTTACGTTCACTCAATAATTCAGCTTTAAGATTAAAGCTTTACAGATTTGTTAATAAATAAAATATTATTATATTTTTTTTTTTATGCAAAAACTATTAAATTAACATCACATATCCAGTTTTTTTTTATTGTTTATTAATTTTTTCCTTTATTTTACTTTCATTCACAGGTCGCTTAACATTCTTTAACTTCACTGGCGACATGACCGTTCGCGTAGACACGCTTTCCGCTTGGGTTGGTCAATTGTTCATGTCCTTGTCACAGTTTGGTTGCCAGCAAAATTTCATGCAGCGTTATGTTTCACTGAAATCTATGAGTGATGTGCGACGGTAAGTACCGAACGCTGCTTAAATTTTATTTTAAAGCTTAAATGTAATTGAAACCCATTTACAGCGTCATGATGACAAATATTCCCATCATCGTCGTATTCTTTTCGCTCTCTTGGCTCTCGGGTATGGTCATCTATGCCAGCTATATAAATTGTGATCCATATGCTGAGGGCTACATACAAAAACCGGATGAAATTTTGCCATTTTTCGTAGAGGACCAGTTGGCCGTAATACCCGGTTTTGTAGGCATCTTCATGGCCATGCTTTTCAACGGTGCCTTGTGGTATGTATACAAACAAGTGTTATAGATTGCATTTTAATTACTCAACATTTAGTGCCAATTTATGAACATTTAATCACATTTTATTCCATTGTATTTACTCAAATTGCTCTTCTATTTTTCGCTATTCTTCTTTTTTACCCCAAACTACGTCGTCCTTTTGTCTTTGCGTCGGCCCAACAGCATGATGGTGTCGAATTTAAATTCATTAGCTACTGTTTGCTGGGAGGATTTCGTCTCGCAAATACCGCAATTCAGGGGTCTCAGCGACAAGCAACAGCTTTTCATTCTAAAGATTATAACCGTCATTTGTGGCTTGATTACAATTGGTGTTGCATTTGGTGTGGGTCTACTGTCCGGCGTAATTGAATCATCGATGCTGGCATTTTCGGCTACATCTGGCCCATTATTGGGCTGCTTCATATTGGCAATGCTGGTGCCGATTGCTAATTGGAAGGTAATTAATTTGTTATAACATAATCAAACATCGTAAGGTTGGTCAACGTTATTGCGTACGCACTTGTTGAATGATTTTAATTAGTTGACATAGCATTGCGTGCCGGCCTTACGTTAAGCGGCATGTGAGGGCTCTAGTAAATTTCTGTTCTTCTATTATCTACCTATCTTACTATAGGGTACCTCCACTGGCATGATTGCATCGTGCGTTTTCGTGCTATGGATCATCACTGGCAGCGCTACTGTCGATAAGACTGCTCAGAACACTTTCCTGCCCACATCCACAGAGGTACACGCTTCAATTCTGAGAACCGTTAGATTTATATGCTAATGTTTTTTTTAAATTTATTTCATTTAGGGCTGCACCAACACAACTTTCTCGCCATCTATAACTAAACCGAATAACCTCGAACAATCTTGGTTGATCTCACATTCGCTGCTCAACAATTCTACACCTCTGCAACAAACAATTATGGCGCCTGAACGGTAATAAATACAAATATTCTTAAATGGATACATTTACTATTATTTAAGGGGTTAGGCTCCCCGAGAGCCGTCAAAATATACCTCACTTTGACAATTTATTTTGAAAGTAAGGAAAGAAGTATCGAATTTCTTTCATTTAGGCTTTTTTAAATTAATCTTAATACAAAAAAAATACAAAATGGCGGCTTCTGCGCCATCTTCGGAATAACCTCTACAGGCGATATTGATTCTAAGAACCGGTGCTAAAAATGGGGTCTTAATCCACATAAGGCTTGCTAGTAAAGTACGTATGTATGTGTTTCGCAAAATTACGGATTTTTAAAACAAAAACATTAACTTTGTGACCAAAAAAATTAGGACTAATTTGTTTCTAAAAATAAAGTTACAATACTAAAATAATTGTAAATAGTTTACGGTTAATGATACCATTAAGCTAATGTTAAAATTTGAAGTGTATACCTACGATTCTCTCTGAGTACCATCGTCGTCTGATTTTAAAGTAGTTTCGAGAAAACCCCGTTTTAAGTTTTACGAGCTGAGCAGACAGTTCCAAACGTTTCGACACTTCAGCGGATTTAACCGGGAAAATTTGATTTTTCAGTATTCTATCAATTGAATAATAATAGGGTCTTAACAAATTGTATATAGACTTAAGGCACTTTGTCGATTTATGATCAATTATATAAGAGCTTTACGTACTACGACGGATCGGCATTCTAAGCTATTATTGTTAGAATCGATTTCTTAACCTAACCTCACCCTTCTTTTCACTTTTCATCACTAAATAATAAAATTTCAAAACGATTTTTATACTTCTTACAGCACCCCAATGGAGACATTCTATTCCATCAGTTACATGTACTACAGTCTGCTCGGTGCTGTGATTACGGTTGGTGTTGGCGTTGTAATCAGTTATCTTACACGCGATCCTAAAGACGCATACGATGCTAAGCTCTTACATCCGATGGTATTGCGTTGGTGCGAACGTTTCCCTGGCGACAAACCCTATATAATCGGTGATGCCACCAGTGATTTGACCACAGTCGATAAAGGAAAAGGCGCTAAAGTAAATCTGGCATTTGATGGACAAACCGAATCGAATATCATTATTGGCACCAACAATGAAAAACAAAAACATAATCCCATTGATGTTGTGTTCACGAATGAACAAAATGGGCACACAAATGACAGCACTGATGAGCGTAGCATAACAAAGGGTAGTCTAGCGAGGGCGGCTGAAATGGATACACCACCGAGCGGTGGCGAAAATGGCACATACCGACAATTCAAAGAAAAAGAGACAGTGTGATACGCACCGGTAGTGGTGAATAACCTATGATGAATAACCTATGATGATATGCGGCGGACCCTTGATATTTAAAAGTGCATCGTAGTGACTTAAGTTAATTTACTTAATATGTTATTTTGCTAATGTTATATACATACATACTATATATTACTATATTTTATTTTATACAGATAGAGTTTATTGTTAGTAATGTTTAAGTCTGAAAGTTACAAATAACTTAAAAGCTTCTAAACTAGCTGGTAACGATAATTACACCAGAATTTATACACACATACAGATATTACAAATATTGCTACATACATACATATGTACATATGTATATATATATATGTAGGCTTAGAAAGTTAGTTAACTAAGTCATGAATTAATGTTGTATGTGAAGATGATGAAGACACTGTGATCATTAATTAGTTTGATTACTTGTACTGATCGATTCAACATGTATATGCATATATATTTATATATATACATATTGGATCTATGTGTTCACATTTGTGAGAACAACTTATATACATATATTTTCTGACGTATATTGATATATATATCTACCATATATATATGTATATTAAAGTTATATTTTACAAAAATTTGTTATATGTATACACATTTGTACGATGCATTCATGTCTTAGAAATAAGTACATAAATTGAAACTAATATATACAATGCATATATTAAAAAGAAAATTGTAACATTTAAGATTCACAAAAGTTTACATGAATTGTAAGTACATGCAATACATGCTAAATTCAACGAACATTATTGGATATAAGTATACTCGTATATAGCTAAACATTTAGTGTTTTAATATAACGCCCTATGTGAAGAATAAAGTTTAGAGTTTTAAGTATAAAAAAATTGCATATGAAGTTTTATTTACGTTAAATACGGTTATTTGAGTTATACCGCTACCACAACACAACAACAACTAAATGAGATCTCGTAAATCGTAACTGCAATAGATAACATACTTCCTTGCATTGAGCCTGAGATTAAAAAATGTAATTAAAATAAATTTACTAATTTATAGTAACAATATTATTATCTGTATTTTATTATTTTTTATTTCAATAAATTACTAACCAGCATATGAAAATTACCTAAAAACTAAGGAAAAGTTTTCGATTTAAACCGCTAAGCAGCTTCATTTTGGTAAAAGTAATTTCACAAATATTTTATATAAAATTAAGAAATATTTAATAACATACATATACTTAGCAATTGGACACCCAACGGAACGGAAATGTTTAAAGAAAGTAAATTTGCACTAATGAATTGATATCTTATATATTACGTATGCCATATAGTGCTGACTGTTTTATAAATTCATCTAACTTCGTTTGAAATAGCTCTGATGTCACAGGTGTCCCTGGATTCCAAAGTGGATCACGTACGACATATTCTACCCAAATTTTGCTATACAACTGCTGCAAAAGTTCTTTCACATTTAACGCGGCAGTATCGGTATACAGCACAAACCTAAAAACAAATTGTTTCAGAGAAAATAGATTTTAGCATAGCAGTTTCTCGTTTACTTTAGGCCAGAAGGTGTTTCCATGTAGTGAAGCGCATATCTGTTCGTTTTGTAGTAAAGAAATCCTTCGCGGGGATCTTGTGGAGATATTTTGCTGACGAATGATTTAATTGAAAAAAGCATGCCATAAGTTAGTTTCGCTTCCTGTAAAAATCATATGTTTATTAACAAATTAATATTAAAATCAAGAACAATTTTGAAGCGCACCTCTTCTCTGCTAACACCCGATTTTTTTGTACGATTCCATTCGGCATAATACAGCATGGTGCCGAATTTATCAAAAATATATAAATGATAAATCGTCATCACTAAATTAAAAAAATACTGGAATGAATTAAATTAACTCTCAATCTGTAAATTGTTTATTTTGAAATGACAATTCGATTTATTATTAACAGCTGATGGTGTTAGGCTGCCAGCTGCATCAAATATTTGTTACTATAAAAACCCTACAATGTGGCTGAAGTATAACAGATTTAGTTCAAACTATATATTTTTAAGTGTGATTATATGATTTATCTTCAGAAATTTTACCTTAAACTAACAAAAAATTGATGTAATATACAGCAACGATCAATTTATACATATATATTATTAACTAATAGCACAGGTTTCCTACTATTGAAAATAACCACCCTGCGGTAATGTGGCATCATCGTTAATAATGACAGTCAGCTGATATGAATTAATATTTTTATTTAATTTTTATATTCGGGGATTTTTTCGCTATCAATGCGAATTTGCGTTTTTGTTCTTTTTCTTCATTGTTGCGCATTAGAATAATATAAATTTATATACGTAAATATAATAGAATAGAAATATAATGGCGACTTTGGAAAAACCGAAAGTGGTAAATAGTAATTACTTCAATGCTTACAAATTTATATATCTAGTTCAAAACTTGCAGAAAACAAAGAAATCAAAATTGATACAGAAACCGGAAATATCCATAAACACCTTAGCTGCGGCGGGGCAGCAGTCAAAAGAAATAAATGAGACTGCAGCTAAGAGCAGTTTGCCTATTGAGGATATAAAATCTGTGGACTTTGATCAGTTTGCAACTACCAGCACACGCAACATTATAAGTCAAGAATGTTGCATAGCTTCTGAATATGTAGAACCGGTTGAAAATTCGCCAACATCCGGCAACACATTGCCGGAACAGATTTCAGTAGCCGAGGAGATTGCTCAAGTAGTTACACCATCTCCAACGGATTTGCATATAACACCAACAGCACCTATTGATGATGACCCAAAAACATTACCAACTCCAATTGCGCCCACAGAGACGTTACCAGTTTTTCAATATCCTAATATTACAACTCTGCAGCATGTTGAAACTAAATCAAATGTGGTGTACAGACCAACAAAGGCAACATCGCCTAAATATTCTTTCACCAACAGTCAATTGCTGCCATTCACGTTAGAGCAACGAAAGCAACTGTACGATTGTCCCGATTTAGACTTAGTGCAGCAGTTCGAATTAGATTTTTTAATGAACTCCTTGTTGGAAACATATGAAAATGATCCTCTTTATGCAGCGCTGCTTGAATACTATAACTTACAAAGTAAGCTTTCTGTTAATATGTATGACGTGGGTAATGCACGAAAATTAGTCACAAATGCACAGAAACAAATTTGGACGGAGGTACCAGTCACAAAGACTTTTTCAGCGGCCTGCGGCGATAGGGTGATAGTAAAGGAGACTGTTACATACAAGTAAGTACAAACGTAAAAGCTGTTAGTAATAAAAAGCACAATTATATATTCTCTTGTAATATATAACACTGTAGATAATTTCTGATAACATTGTTGACTTTATGCCTCCGATATTTATCACGTTGCATATTTTTATTACATATCTAAATATTATACATAGTGTATTTCTTTTGTATACATAATTGAAATTACCCACCACGGTAAATCTGCATTTATATATATAAAAACAAGGAAAAAATTATTTGTGCTAATGTGTCAAAATAAACCCATTAGGAATTTATTCAATGTAATTCGACTATTTTAATTTCAACAGCGTTGCTCAAGTAGATGGCAAAAACCTGGAGAACACTTCCGCCGCATTGAATAATCTTTATGAATTAGTCTGCAACACATATACCACAAATTTAATAACAGCAAAAATAATCAAAGTGAAGGTATTTATGCACTTTTTGTAGATTCAATTAAGAACAAATTAGTACCATAGTGCACTAAACAACCTTTCCCGCTTTACAGATAGATCAAATGGTTGACGACATAATTTCACCCAACTGCCTAGTAAAGCTGGCACAGAAGGAAACAATTACTTTAGAAAAACAGCTCGACCCTTCAGTAATTCCATACGTGGCACATTTACGACGATCTATATCTATTTTATTTAATTTCGTGCGGAAATTGAGTCCAAATAAGGTTTGTATATGCCATTCAACAGCTAACCAATTATTTAAGTATGCCGTTTCCTAATAAAATTTCAGGACTTTTCGAACGATCTAAAAATATGGGTTCGCAAATTGGTTTCATTGCATCTGCTCGTTGCGACTAAAGAGGATCACTGGTTTCTACTATTCAATATACTGCGCTGTCCCAGTGGTGTGGGTGATTGGGCAACTGAACTGCTTCAAATTCCATTTGGAGGCAGCACATCGACTGAAGCAACGACTAGCGCTCGTAATAGCGAGATGCCTCTAAATATCAATTCACCGGAAATGAGTAATTGTATAGCGACATTGCAAATATTGCTGTTACCCATAAAAAAACGCAACGAATACCTGAAAGATTTTGAAAAAGTTAGTAAATACGTTTTTATATGTTTACAATCATTTATCGCAACTAATAATAATTCTAAAGTCTCATAAGGAAATCTCGGATCCTGCACGTGATGAGCGCTGGATTCTTGTTGATTCCGATGGTGAAGACAGTCACAATGCAGCTGGTGAATGCATAGGTTTGAAGGAGAACGATTTGATTGCCTTTCTCAATCAAATACCTTTTGGAAAAGTATTCATGTTAGTATAAGATTTATCGTAAAATTAACTATTAAGCTAATTTAACGAACGTCTATCTCTTTTAGTTCTGCTTTGAATATTGAACAATTTCTAAATGACTATGTCATTACACCAGATGTCATACTAGCAAACGATGTGCTTCGCGTGATCACATATTTTTCGAATTTGATAGAAATTTTCGGCGAAGGCATGTTGACATACAACACGGAGCGTTACAAGCAACTAGCAAAACGGCTTGGACGGCTTATACGCCATACACTACAATATAGTAGTGATTATTACGACCTATTCATGTAAAGCAAAACTTCAAATTTTAATAATTATAGAAACTAAATTATTAAAACAACTCGCAGGTACAACACAATCCCCAAGGATACAAAAACCTGTGAGCGCATATCCGTGGAACTGAATATGCTGTTATTCAAGGCATGTAGCTACATATATCGTTCACGAAATTTGAGTACATGGCAATATTTTTCATCACTGCCCTTCCATTCACTCGACAATGAAATTACATGGCAAATATTTTATTATTTAAATATCGGGTTTCCAACGGAAACGCCAACAGTTCAGATAGGTATTTTGTTTGCTTTTGTTTATTTGAAACGTGTATAACTTTTACACATAATTTTAGATTATAGTGAGCTTATTAACACGCCAGAATTCTGGAAAAAATTCAATGTTGCTAATGCAGATTCATCCGCTGAGGACTTATACTATCTGCTACAGACCTTTTTCGAAATTGCCAACGAACGCGACAGAGCCAAAGATTGGGAGTTAATTAAAATGATTTGTCTGCACATCTTCAATGTGTGTATTCATATAATAATAATATGTGATTTTTCTATAAGAATTTATTTTTACAGATTGGCTATGTGAACGTGAACACACGCGAAATTTGCTACAAAACATCACGTGATATGCTTGTTAACTTAACACTCTCCTATGAAGACCTCATCACATGCCTATTATTGCAACTTAAAGTGCGATTTAACGAAATCGAAAATGGCATCTATCTCATAAAGTCATTGCCATTGGAGAACTGGAAACCTGGCATGGACAGTTTTGAAATTCTATCCAATTGGCTGCTACATTTTGACTATTCATCGCAAGAGAATATGCTTGCGCGCATTGTGATAAGCCATTTGAATTGGGGTTTCGATTATGATGGACGTCTCTTTTTACCGCATAACATACACATACGCATGGCGTGTTTGGTATCCGAAGCGCTGAACAAGCATGCTCCAGAAGTTATTGGTTTATCTGGCATTTCCGAGGGTGTACGGCAAGTTTCAAATCTTATTGACTTATCAATATCATCAAAAGAGCAATTTTCAACCTGGTGTTGGACGATGATATCACTATTGCGTCTGCATTTGATGGATCAAGGTGCTGAGTCGATAAAGCTGACGTTGCGCAACCCCACAGAGCCGCTAATGTTTGTGCCTGAACTGGAGCATATCGAAATGATTTATCAGGGAGTTACAGAGCATAGACCACTATCTGTTTATGTCGCTGTTCTGGTAAGTCTACATGGGCATACAATACCGTTGATTTGTCAGAAAGGACTCGAGCTAATAAAGTTGCTTTTAAACGACTATCGGCATGCAGCTGTTATACGTTGCTTAGAGTTGATAGTTCCACTATTTTTGGAGACACCAGAAACGTTAGCCAATTGTGAGAAGTAAGTGGTTGGCTAAACCACTATATATTTGTTATTTAATATTCGCATTTCAGTTTTCATGCAATATTAAATACTTTACTGAGTGCCGATCGCACCTACTTGAAAATGGCAAAAGATATGATCTATCCCAACTCGATTGGTCCTGTACTGCAGCTGCTTGACAATATGATTCATCACCAAATTACCAGTTACACTGAGTGAGTACTTAACACGCACGCGTATATTAATATTATATATATGTAGATTTGTGTTTTTTTTTTACTTCATTTACCTTTATATTCGCAGATACGGTCTTTCTACACCACTCAATTTGATAAATGCTTGGTTGAATTTGCTTACCGCGCTCCCCAATTGGCAAAACACCAACGTGGTCTATCTGCTGGATATGATCCTAAGAATTGCCTATCAGTTCTCGGATGCACGCTATCAAGCAGTGGAATTCTTTCACAACTACTTCAAGGTAAATAATTACACTATTTTACAGTCATTTTGCGACTGTGATGTTAGAGGCTGTTACTTGCTAATTTTAGATTGCTTAAACCGAAAATGATAGTAAGAACTGCCTATCACGTACGATTTTTTGTGTTGCAGACAAAGGGTGTAGGGGTCAAACCACCACCATTTATTAAAATGGCAAAAATAGCTGTACGTGATGGAAAGTTTTTGAACTCAAATTCGTAATCAAGACACTTTAAATACCCCCACAGATCTCTTAGCACATCAGTCGCAAATATTTCCTT